AATTCCCCAGCCAGCTTTGCTGGCTGGTGAATTCTGGGAGTTGAAGTTCTCCAGCCTTAAGGTTACCAAGGTTGGACACCCCTGCCCTACACCATTTCTGACAGGTGGCAGTCCAGTCTCTTCTTGAAAGCTTCCACTATTGAAGCACCCACAACTTCTGAAGGCAAGCTGTTCCATTGGGTGATTGTTCTCACTGTCCCCTTATTTCTAGGTTGAATGTCTACTTGATCAGTCTCCATCCATTATTCCTTGTCTCGCCTTCAGGTGCTTTGGAAAATAGCTTGACTCCTTCCTCTCTGTGTGGCAGCCCCTCAAATATTAGAAGACTGCTATCATGTCTCCCCTGGTCCTTCTCTTCACTAGACTAGCCATGCCCAGTTCCTGTAATCGTACTTCATATGTTTTAGCCTCTAGTCCCCTATCATCCTGGTTGCTCTTCTCTGTACTTTTTTAATATAAGCAGTTTAGAATTGCAATGTCTGTTGCAATTACATTGTGTGTGTTTTTTCTCCCTCTGGGAAGTGAGAAATTGGCCTATGACAGTTCTCGGCTGCCAACTCGCCACAGCCAACTCGCCGCAGGGCAAGAGTTACACTAATATCAAAGAAATAGTGGAATGGAGCCATTAAAGGATGCAAAAGGAGGGACAGAATGAAATGTGAATGGCAAAACTTAAAATAATTTTCTTATTTATTTTAAATCATTAAATAGAATTGTTAAATTGTCCCACACAGAGTTGTCCCACAGCGAGTTGGCCGTGGTGAGTTGGCTCATGGCAAGTTGGTGGTGGCGAATTGTCCCACTCCAACTGGGAATGGTTCAATTTGGATGAGCCACAACCACAATCCTGTAAGGGAGGGCAGATTGGGGGGGAAAGTTGGCTGGCTCTTGACCCATAGAGTCCCGCTAGCAAGTGACAATCTGAAGCCAGCTATTGATAGCATGAATGTTCACAAGTGAAACCTGAATTTCTCTTAGTAAACAAAGCGGTTGTCCAAGTGTGTTGTGCTCAATTTTACAACCTTTTCGCCACAATTCTTAAGCAAAATTTGTCCATGATGTGTTTGGAGTGCCAGACTTCAGGGCTTCATCCCAGTGCAGCATGTTTCTGCCCTTTTAGCCACATACAGGCCAAACACTAACTTTAAACCAGGAGCACATTATTCTGTGCGATTTTAGGGACTACACCCTATGTGACCCCTTGCCATTAGCTCTGCTGGTTGGAAACAATGGGAACTGAAACTTAGAACACCTGGAGGCTCCCTGTTTGAGTATTCCTGTCCTCATGAATCTTTCTATTTCTTATTTTTTTTAGGGAATTGATCTTGGGGGGAGATGAGAAGCATGAGAAGCCCCCCATCAATTTGCCTCGGGGAAGCAAGATCCCAATACTGGATGTTTTCCTCTGCACCTGAGGGAAGAAATGGCGGCTTAGAAGTGAATTAGATTCATCCAGGGAAAAAGATCATGTCTTTGGAGCGGGAGGTGGAGATTTCAGCCTCGGGGTTTCAGAGAGTCATCTTTGACCTGGACACGAAGCCAGAAATCAAGATGGAAAAGCAGGACGTGGAGCCTGAGAGGCAGGCCCACCTGGCTGGGCATACCGAGGCCATATCAAGAGGGTTGTGCCGCCCACTTCAGCACATTAAACAGGAAGATGACGAGAGTTTGGAGCCACAACAGTGGGAAGCACAACAGTGCAACTTTCTCGACACATCCCCATCTCTTCCTCGGGGCCAGGGGCTCTCCGAGTTGCCGGAGGGGATGCTGCAGCATGGACCCAAGGCTTCTCCATCCATTTTGGAAGGAGCAGGGCCTATGTCTGACTGGGATAAGGCAGGGAAGGTCCCCAAAGTTACACCGGACAGCAGAGACTTCAGGATGCCGAGTGGGGGAAGCGAGGAGCAAACCGAAGGGCTCGAAGCTGGCAATTCCGAATGTCAACGCCAGCATTTCCGGCAGTTCAGTTACAGGGAGGCTGAGGGCCCGTGGGAGGCCTACTGTCAACTTCGGAAACTTTGCCACCGGTGGCTGATGCCCGAGAGGCGCACCAAGGAGGAGATGCTGGAGTTGGTGATCTTGGAGCAGTTCCTGGCCATCCTGCCCCTGGAGATGCTGAGCTGGATCCGGGAACAGGATTCTGAGAGCTGCTTGCATGCAATAGCCTTGGCAGAGAGTTTCCTCCTAAGGCAGCATGAGAAGCCAGATCAGCAGGTGAGGGTTACTTCTGGAGATGCTGAGCAGCAGAGGATCAGAGGAGGAGGAGGAGGCTCCGAGGGGGAAGAGGGAATGGAGCCTGTCAGAGATAAAAGCAGAGGCAGAGCCTGGACTCTCAGATGGGGCATCAACAGTCCCCAGGTCTGGAGGTAGCGGATGAGGAAGAGGAGGAACAGCTGGGTCCAGTGCCTGACGCATGGATGCTCAGAAGGCAGAGGAGAGGAGACCAGTGGAAATCTATGGGCTGATCCTTGGGACCGAAGAGCCACCACTGCTAGCGAAGCTCTGAGGATAAAAGGCAGGAGGCAGAGATAACTAGGTGTGGCAGACAACTATTCATCTCCCTGCCAGACAGACTTGTTAGCCTGCTGTGAGAGAGAAAGAGGGAGCATCCCTAGGATCATTTGATCAAAATTGAGATGCTCGGCAACTGGTTCATACTTATGACCGTTGCTATGTCCCAGGGTCATGTGATCCCCTTTTGCAGAGAGAGAGAGAGAGAGAGAGAGAAAGAGAGGGAGGGAGGGAGAGAGAGGGGGGTTGGCAGTGATTTGCTGCCAATTTTGCTTACTTGTGGTATAATGGGTGGCCAATAAATTAGAGAGATAATTAAATAGAGAGATGAGATAGGTAGGTAGGTAAGTGGCTGGCTGGCTGGATGGATGGATGGATGGATGGATGGATGGATGGATGGATGGATGGATAGATAGATAGATAGATAGATAGATAGATAGATAGATATTGACACTGATTTACTCTCCAAACTTGTTTCAATTTAGTTCCCCCCCCCCCCAGTTTTTATTTAATTTTTTATTATATAAAATACAAAGAAGAGAAGAAAAAAATAGAAAATTAAGGGAGGGAAAGGGAGTGGGGAAAAGGGGGTGTGAGATACAAGGAGAAAGAGAAAAAAGAAAGGAAAGGGGCATTGACTTTCAACTCTTCTTAGCACAGTACAAGATGAACACACTCCAACCACAACTTTTTGCTTAACTAGCCATTCCTATAACGTCAAATCTTTCTCATCAACAAAACCCAAGTCAGAGTTTCATATATTTTTTTCCTCCACAAGCACCAATGCCAGAAGGGATATCCAAATGAAAACGAATGTACCTCTTTTTGAATACAATAATCAATTTAACCACGCCTGCTTTATCTTCCTTGCCATGGAAATAATGTGTATTTCTATATGCACCTAAGTAATCTTGGGGAACTTTCACCCTTTTTATTTACAACATTCATTGTATTCTTTCCAATTCTTTGACCTGACTAAAAAGAAAAAAAAAGGGGGGGGGGAATTTATTTTATTTATTTTTAAGTTTTTGAACGTTTTGTTACCAGATTAGGTAACATCAGGATTTTCTTGTCCTATTCTCCTTAGCTTATCAGTGTCTCGTGTGACAGTTTGGTCGTTTGATCGGTTGTTCTTTTGGAGCTCAATTTAAATTCTGAGCAGCTGATTGGTTGCTCTTGTTGATCGGTCGTTCGAATAGTTTGGGTTTCTTACGTATACATATGCTGGCTCTAGATCAATATGTTTGTTAATTGCTCCTTTGGTAGAAATACCAGGCTTCAATAAATTCACGTGTGTGGCGAGTGCTGGCATGGCCAGTGATTTTTGTTCCTTCCCAATCAAACTGGTGCTTATTTAGGATCAGTGTGGTTCGAGATCAGGGATTTTTGATGGTGCTGTTGAAATGCCAGTTGATGTTCATGAACCCTTGTTATCAATTGCCTTCCTGTTTGCCCCACACAGAATCGCTTACAATCGTTGCAATTGGTTTTGTATATACTATATGTTGCTGTTGTCTTCCTTCTGTATTTTGTCTTTGACTTTCTGTAGCTCTTTTCTGAGTGTAAATGTGGGTTTGTGAGCTATCCTTTATTCCTAGAGGGTTGCAGTATTCTGGCAGCCATTTCAGACGTTCCTTTGATGTGTGGAACGTATTATTTCATATAATAAAACATAACACGTAATATAACAGATAATCAGAGTTGGAAGAGACCTTGTAGGTCATCTAGTCCAACCCCCTGCCCAAGCAGGAGACCCTACACCATTTCTAACAGATGGGAGTCCAATCTCTTCTTGAAAGTCTCAAGTGATGAAGCTCCCACAACTTCCGAAGGCAAAGTTGTTCCATGGGTTGATGGTTCTCCTTGTCAGAAAGTTTCTCCTTATTTCCAGGTTAAATCTCTCCTTGTTCAGTTTCCATCCATTATTCCTTGTCTGGCCTTCGGGTGCTTTAGAAAATAGCTTGACCCCCTTCCTCTCTGTGGCAGCCCCTCAAATATTGGAAGACTGCTATCATGTCTCCCCTGGTTCTTTTCTTCCCTAGACTAGCCAGGCCCAGGCCCAGTTCCTGTAACTGTTCTTCATATGTTTTAGTCTCCAGTCCCCTCATCATCCTGGTTGCTCTTCTCTGTACTTTTTCTACAGTCTGAACATCTTTTTTATAATGTGACCAAAACTGGATGCAGTACTCTGGGTGTGGTATTATTAAGGCTTTATAGAGTGATATTAGTACCTCACTTGATCTTGATTGTATCCTTCTGTTAATGCAACTTAGGAGTGCATTAGCTATATAATACACAATTTAATTTCACAATACGATCCTTGTCATCCAAACCCCGACAAAATACACAGCCAACCACCACACAAAAACAAGTCTTGCCATACAGTACATCAAAGGAACATCCAAAATGGCTGCCAGAATACAGCAGGGTGGATTTGATTTAAATCAAGCCAATTGAAATCACGATTGAAATCACTAGTAAAAAGGCTTGATTTAAATCAACTGGATTTAAATCATAATTTTTAAAGAGCAGCTGTCATCTCTGTCCCACAGCAGCTCCTCCTCTCATCCGCTGTTGACTCACTGACGGTCCCAACATTGCAGAATTTTGCTACATAACTAAGCTCCATTTCATGCTGAATAAAGTAAATTATTAATGTACCTTAAATAGAAAACTACATTTAGCTAGTTTTTTACTCCAAAAGCATTTTATTAAAATAAATTTGATAAAAATCAACAAAATCCTATTTAAATAAAAAAAATCCTATTTTAATTTAATAAAGCTGGGGTTTTTTTTTAAAAAAATTAAAATCGATTTTTATCTACCCTGGAATACGGCAAATGTTTCAGTTAGCAACATCAATTTTGGGCTCAATTGTGGTCGTAACCTGAGGACTACCTGTACTTCTTTTACCCTTAGGCAATTCTTCCTAATGCCCAACAGAAAGCTACAGGTAGATTGTCGATTTACAACCACTCATTCAATGACAGAAGTTATGAGGGCATTGGGGGGAAAGACTTACGATTATTTTTCACAATGTTACACATGATCAAAATTCAGATGCTTGGCAATGGGTTGATACCAGAGTGGATAAAAATCAATGGTTTTTTTTTAATTTAAAAATCATTTTATTTAAATCAGATTTTTTTATTTAAATCAGATTTTTTTATTTAAATCAGGTTTTTTAAAAAATCAAATTTATTTTAATAAAATGCTTTTGGAGTAAAAATCTAACTAAAGATCATTTTCAGTTTAGGATACATTAATAATATACGTAGTTTATGCATTGATGAACTCAGACAATTTCACAGCAGACATAATAGCTGCTCTTAAGTTGATTTAAATCAAGCCTTTTTATAGTGATTTAAATGAAATCCACCCTGGTTGATATCAGTGTTTCAGGGTCATGTGATCACAGTTTGGGACCTTCTGACAAGCATTTCACTTAACAACTGTGTTCTAATTTAACAACGGCAATGATTCATTTAACAGGTTTGGCAAGAAACAACGTAAAATGGGGCAAAACTCAATTAACCACTGTCTTGGTTAGCAAGATAAATTTTGGGCTCAATTGTGGTCATACGTTGAGAACTACAGGTAGTCCTTGACTTACGATCATAATGCTGTAGACACCCAAAATTTCTGGTGTTAAGTGAGACATTTGTTAAGTGAGTTTTGCCCCATTTTATGACCTTTCTTGCCTCGGTTGTTAAGTGAATCACTGCCATTGATAAGTTAGCAACCCGGTTCTTAACTGAATCTGACTTCCCCTTTGACTTTGCTTGTCGGAAGGTTGCAAAAGGGGATCATGTGACCTCGGGACACAACAACCGTCATAAATATGAACCAGTTGCCAAGCATCTGATTTTTGATCACATGATCATGGAGATGCTGCAAAGGTCACAATTGTGAAAATCGGTCAGAAGTCCCTTTTTCCATTGCCATTGTAACTTTGAAATGGTCACTAAATGAACTGTTGTAAGTCAAGGACTACCTGTACTTTGACTTCCCTGCCAACGTGGACCCGTGGTGGCAAGTGGCTAAAATGCAGAATTGCAGGATAATTCTGACAATTGCCAGCAGTTCAATTCCCTCAATCCTGACCGATTCAAGGTTGACTCAGACCTTCCATCCTTCCGAGGTCGGTCAAATGAGGACCCAGATTGTTGGGAGGCAATAGGCCCTTGATGGCGAACCTGTGGCACGCGTGCCACAGCTGGCATGCACAGCCATTTGTGCTGGCACGCGAGCTGCAGGCAAACTTTTACCTCACTGCGCATGCATGCGCCTCACAGTTGATTTTCGGCCTCCCAGAGGCTTGAGGAAAGCCTTTGCAGGGTGAAAAATAGGCCCATTTCAGCACTTCCTGTATTTCCGGAAATACCGGAAGTGATGAAACAGGCCCATTTTTCAGCCTGCAAAGCCTGCAGAAGCTTTCCTCAAGCCTCTGGGAGGGCAAAAAAGGCCTCAAACGGGCCGAAAATCAGCTGGGAGGTACAGTGCAGGTAAGGGGGGGGGGGGGGGGGATGGGGGGGGGGTGCATGCATTGCCCTCTGGGTGCTGGCACACAAGCGTAAGCATGAAAGCACATGCACAATTTTTGACACAGGAGCCCAAAAAAGGTTAGCCACCACTGCAATAGGCTGACTGTGTAAACCGCTCGGAGAAGGCTATAAAGCCTTATGAAGCGGTATATAAGTCTAAGTGCTAGTGCTGTTCCCTGAACCACCATGGCAAGAAAGGTCGTAACATGGAGCAATAATCGCTTTAAGAGTCTTGCTTAGCAAACACCATTTTGGGTCTTGGTTGTGGTCATAAGTTCAGGACTGCTTGTACTAGATTACAGGCTTTCTTTCTTAGACCCTTGTCAGTTATCGCCCCTTTCTGCGTTCAGAAGGTCCCGAGTTCAAATCCCTAACAAAATCGAAATATAAGTCTAAGCGCTCTTACTAATTGCCATTGTTATTTCAGTTCATTGGGTCTTCTCCTGTCTTCTTAGAAAATAATGATGGGGTGGGTTTGGGAGGCTGCCCTGCTTTGTTTGGAAACGTGCCCAGCTACCCTCCCTCCTCCCCAAAGAGGCAAAGGGGGTGTAGGAAGTATCTATCTCAAAAAGATGGCCATTTTCTCTACCCATGGTTATGGATTAAAATTCCTCTTTTGTTCCAGATGACAGGGATGAAGGAAGAGGAGGCAGCAGCGGATTTCCCCGAAGGAAAAGGAACTTCTCTGGATGTTACCCTCAGGCAGCTGAGCAAGGAGGTCAAGCAAGAGGAGGATGGGAATGCCTGCATGACAGGTAAGGGGTTCCTTTGTTGGCAGACTACAACTCCCAGCTGTCTTTTTGCTCTCAGCCGTGGAAGCTTTAGCGCCCTCCATTTTGTTCATGGTGGAATTTCACCACTAGGGGGCAGCCTTTGCAGCATCAGCCTCCATACTGTGACTGAAGAATTTGAATTATGTCACTTGATTTGAGAAAGCGGGGGTTATCCATACAAAGGATAACACAGGAAAAGAAGAGGCTTCCCACAAGCAGAGTCAATGGGGAAGTCGGAGGGAAGTCGGAGGCTGGGATCACATGAGATCCTTAACAACCTTCACGGTCCTTGTTTAGGACTGCCAAAACTGCCATCGCTAAGAAAGGTGGTGATGTGAGATCATGCTTTACAACTGTGTTGTTCAGCAGTGGCCATTCCAAGTCCCCCTTTGTCCTCATAACATGAGAACTACAAACGCAAAGAAGTTTTGGCCTTCAGAATGTTGCTGAACCTCTCCTCTCAGCAGTCCTAGACAACTTGGCTGAGAGTGAGGACTTCTGGGAATTGTAGTTCAGCAGCATGTGAAAGGCCTCAAATTCCCAAAAAGGTACAGGTAGCCTCCAACTTACAAGCATTCATTTAGTGACTGTTCGAAGTTACAAGGGTGACTTATGACCATTTTTCGCACTTAGGACTGTTGCAGCATCCCCAAGTTCCCATGATCATAACTTGGACATTTGGCCACTGACTCGTATTTATGACACTTACAATGTCCCAGGGTTACGTGATCATCTTTTGTAACCTTCTGACAAGCAATGGGGAAGCCAGATTCGCTTAACAACCATGAGATGACTGTAATGATTCACTTAACAACTGTGGCCAGAGAGGTCGTAAAAGAGGGCAAAACTCCCTTAGCTGTCTTGCCTAGTGACGGAAATTTGGGGCTCAATAATGGTCATAAGTTGAGGACTACCAATAATGGGAAGAAGGACTAACCTTGAGGGGTAGAAGGAGGAGCCACAACCCAAACAATGGTGAGACAAAAGAAAATTCAGTCTTGGCTAGAATAATAAAAAGTTGTGGCAGGAGGTGCTGTTAATCTGAGGCATTCTGCTCCACCTTTCCATATCTCACCCTACTTGGCAGTTGAGTGACCATTGGCAGGAGAGATAATCCTCAACTTATGACCATAATAGATCCTGCCCATTAAGGTAATAGGTCACAATAGTTGTAAAGTGGTTATGTCTAATTGGATTCATTTTTATGATCTCTTTTCCAGTGGTCATTAAGTGAGCTCACTATTCACTCTAGGGCATTTTTGTAAAAAAAAAACAGAAGTAAACACTAGTTGCCTAGTGCCCAAAATGTGGTCACGTGACTGCAGGGGAAAGGGGCAGCCATTGGAACTTTGGAACTGGGTCGTAAGTAACTTTTGGGGTCTCCATTGTAAATTCAAACGGTCACTAAGTGATTGGTCATAATTCGAGGACTATCTGTATTTTCACTGGCCTGCTTCTGAGGTTCCCCTTTTTCTTCCCCCAGCAAAAAATGGGTTCTTTTGCAAAACTTCCAATCCCCCATCCTTGAAGACCCTTCTGTCAGGATTCCAGCGATCGCCCTAATTAAATCGTAAGCCTCCAGCCAAACTTCAAAAAACTTCCACAGGATTTATTAGGAACGACATACTGGCATGACCTGTATGAAGCCGAATCTGAGATACGTAATTTACAGTCACCTATACGTAATTCCCCTCACCCCTCTGAGTGTATCATAATTCAGATTGTCCAACAAAACACGTTCATGGCCTGGGTGTCATCAGTCACGCTCTCCAATAGAGGATTTTTGCACCCAGAATTACCTCAGTTACAATCGTTGTGAGAAAAGCTAGGAATGTGCTTCTGGGTTCATTTGCCATATGCTCCTTCAGGGTTTCTCTCTCCCACTCCCTCTTTCTTATGGCAACTTGGAGACAGGCATAGGAATGTTTTACAAGTTGACACCTTCCTTGCATTTGGCAGATGACGAAGGGCAAAGAGACCACCAGGAGATGATGACAGAGAGAGAAAACGTCCAGGATTTAAAAGAACCTGTCTCCAATCCGAACAAGCCAACCAAAGAACAGCCAGAAGAGCCAGAGACCGATCCTGTTGCATTGAAGAGGAGAGACCTCTACACAACCATCCTCAGGCAGCCGATCCCCAAAGGGAAGCAACCAAGTGACAAGCTGTTCCATAGTCTCAACAAGCATCTCCAGGCCCACACCGGCAAGGAGCTGTTTGAATGCTCCGATTGCGGGAAGGCCTTTATTTCCAGAGCCGGCTTCATCGTGCACATTCGAGTCCATGGCCGGGAGAAACCCTATGAATGCTCAGAGTGCGGGAAACACTTCCGCCGCAGTTCGCACCTCAACAACCACAGCAAAATCCACACCGGGGTGAAGCCCTTCCAGTGCTCGGATTGCGGGAAGACCTTCAGCCGTAGTTCCAGCTTGGTTTCCCATCAGCACATGCACACGGGGGAGAAGCCCTACCACTGCGCCTCCTGCAGCAAGCAGTTCTGCGACAAATACAGCCTGGTGCGCCACGAACGCCTCCACACTGGCGACAAACCCTACAAGTGCACGGAGTGCGGGAAGAGTTTCAACCAAAGCCACCATCTCGTCACTCACAAGAGGAGCCACACGGGTGAAAAGCCCTATGTGTGCTTGCTGTGCAGCAAAAGCTTCTGCGATCGGTCCACGTACATCCGGCACCAGAAGAACCACATGGGCGAGAAAATGTTCAAGTGCTCTGAGTGTGGTGAAAGCTTCAGCCGGAACAAGCACCTTCTCCGGCACCGGAGAATCCATACGGCCGGGGAGCTGTACACCTGCTCCGATTGCGGCGAGAACTTTTCCCGTCAGTCGGGCTTGAAAATGCACCAGAAAATCCACACGGGGGAGAAACCCTACGAATGCGGGGACTGCGGGAAGAAATTTAACCGAAGCACCAACTTGATCAGCCATCAGAGGGTCCACACGGGAGAAAGACCGTACGGTTGCCCCGACTGTGAGAAGAGATTTAGTCGGAGGACGCACCTCGTGAGCCACCAGAGAATCCACGGGCAGAAGAAGGAAATGCCAGAAGGTCTGGCCACAGCAGGTCTGCATCCCCCTGCAGCAGTTTTCGTGCCCACGCTGTTCATCACAACCCTCTGAGGTAGGTCTGTTGGGTCTGAGAGGCGGGCAAGGGTGCGATTCAACCGGTATAACAATCGGTTTGGTGAGCGCCCACTCTGCGTTCATGCTCCGCGTTTAAAAACGCTAATACTTACCTTCAACTGCAGCTGAAGAAAACAGCTGAGCTGCGGCAAACGGCTCTGCCGCGTGAATCAGCTGTGCTCTAACAAAAAGACATAAAGCACAGGAAAGAGCAGAGGCAGGTAGGTGGGCCCACATGCTCATCCGAACCAGTTTGGAGCCAGCTGATCGTCAGGACAAGGGGTTCGCCCGAACCGCGAGAATCCCACCCCTGGAGGCGGGCCCAGCCGAGATGATTCAAGAACTCTATGGGGTTCCACAATATTTTCCCACTGTCGAATGACAAAAATCAACATGGTGGTGTGATTTGATGTCGAAAGATGTTGAGACTCGACTCTTAGAGAGAGTGCAGAGAAGAGTAGCAAAGTTAATCAGGGGAAAGGAGGCTAAAAGATATGAAGAACGGTTGCAGGAAGGCCCAATCCTTTGTGCCTTGAGTGAAAAGCCTGGGCCGATTCGTTCAATGATCCATCAATATGTTTTCTTGGCTGTCCATGGTAGTCTCTGGGGTCTTCTGCAACGCCAAAGTTCAAAATGGTTGCAGGAACTGGGTATGTCCAGTTTAATGAAAAGAAGGACTAGGGGTGACATGATAGCAGTCTTCCAATATCTCAGGGGCTGCCACAAAGAAGAAGGAGTCAAGCTATTCTCCAAAGCACCTGAAGGCAGGACAAGAAGCAATGGGTGGAAACTAATCAAGGAGAGAAGCAATCTAGAATTAAGGAGAAATTTCCTGACAGTTAGAACAATTCATCAGTGGAACAACTTGCCTCCAGAAGTTGTAAATGCTCCAACCCTGGAAGTTTTTAAAAAGATGTTGGATAATCCTTTGTCTGAAGTGGTGTAGGGTTTCCTGCCTAGGCCGGGGGTTGGACTAGAGGACCTCCAAGGTCCCTTCCAACTCTGTTACTCTATTCTAAGTCCCCCAAAATTGATAAGTCTGTCAGACTGGTGATCTCTCAGGAAAACATCATACCCTTGTCTGAAATTTTGCAGAATCTCATACAGGAACACAAAACTCATGCCAGTGTTAGTGCTCACATGGACCATAGGCAATTTTTCAAGTTTAATTTTTGTGTGTGTGTGTTTAACATTTTCATTGAGTTATAAAATATAATAAGATACAGAATACAAAAATAAATCGGAAAACAGTGGAGAGGAGGAAGGGGAAGAGAAGTGAGGAAGGATAAGGGGGGAAAGAAAAAGAAACATTGACTTCCAGCTTTCTCTGTTGGAGTAAAATAAGGCATTAACATCAAATCACAACTTTTTGTTTTTTCATAAAAATATGAGTAAGCCATTTCTATAAAGATCTATCAATCTACTCAGTAAAGCCCAAAATCAAAGCTGCTTTCTTTTCCACTTCAAGCACAAAGATAGAAGCAGTCTTCATGTGGAAACAAAAGTACTTATGTTCATTTCTTTAATCAAAATAGTCAATATTGTCATTTCAGGCAACTCCCATCAACTTCTGCAACCATTTGTCCATGGTAGGAACCAAAGTGTCCTTTCATTTTTGCGCATATCATAGTCTTGCTGCTGTCAACATATATAATAACAAAGTTCCAAAATAATTTTTCAAGTTTAATAATGGGCATTCTAGGACGATATCCGGTGGTTATACCATCAAATTGCATCCCAAAGGTGCTTTTCCAAAAGGCAACTAGGCTTTCTTAGTTTTTTCCTTGAAAACGTTTTGCTTCTCATCCCAGATGCTTCTTCAGTTCTTCAGAAGCTTCTTGGATGAGAAGTGAAATGGTTTCAAGGGAAAAAACAAGAAAGTCCAGTTGCCTTTTGGAAAAGCACTTTTAGGACAACCATGACCAGAATGATTGAGAATCTCCATAAACCTCAGGTTGCATGTTGCGAAGTTGTGCTGTAGACTGAATCTATGGATCAGGAGCCACAAAGGAGCTGCTGATACAGTTCTACAGAGGAATTATTGAGCCTGTCATCTGCACCACTATAACCATCTGGTTTGGTTCTGCAACCCAACAAGACAGACACAGGCTTCAAAGAGTAATTAGGACTGCAGAAAAAAAAACAATTGCTACCAACCTGCCTTCCATTGAATATACTGCATGAGTCAGAAAGAGGGCTGTGAAAATATTTACAGACCCCTCACATCCTGGACATAAATTGTTTCAACTCCTTCCCTCAAAACAACACTATAGAGCACTGCACACCAGAACAACTAGACACAAGGACAGTTTTTTCCTGAACGCCATCACTCTGCCAAACAAATAATTCCCTCAACACTGTCCAACTATTTGCAAAGTCTGCACTACTATTACTGTTAATCTTCTCATCACTCCTATCACCCATCCACTCCCACTTGTGACTGTATGACTGTAACTTTGTTACGATTCATATGGACTGTTTCCTAGTATGATTTGATTATTTGTACCCTATGACTGTATTAAGTGTTGTACCTTATGATTCTTGATGAATGTACCTTTTCTTTTTATGTACACTGAGAGCATACGCACCAAGACAAACACCTTATGTGTCTAATCACACTTGGCCAATAAATTCATTTCATTTCATTTCAAAAGCCATTACAGATAGTCACACTTACTGACAGCAATTGGATCTGAGGACTCTGTGGCTAAGCAGCAGGATTTTAAGGCATATCACAGGACTGTGCTGATTTGGTGATTTACTGAGAAGCGTTTTGCCACGAGGAACCGTATAAATTATAAACAATATAAATTGATATTGCACACTCCAGAAGCAACCTTCTCTCTGAAGTGCCATTTTTCTAACAAATGATCTCTCTCTTTTTCCCCCATTCTTGTATTTCAGATGAATCATTTAATTCTGAAGGAAGACCTTTACCAATTTACCTCTTCGGTAGGAGCAGAGTGTCGCTGTTACAGCAGAATGTCAGAAAGGGGAATATGGAGGAAATGTGCTGTAAAACACATTTCACGTGGGTTGAGGAATGAATTCTCCACCTCTCCACCAAAATCTAGCCCTGGTCCTCAATCCCACACTTCCAGCCTTTTTTTGCTAAGAATTGTAAATCACTTACGTGAACTGTTGTGTGTTTCTGTTTATGACTGTCGCTTTTTTTTTTCCATGTGGAGGAAATTGTATAACATCAGCAATACAAGTCATCCATCAATTTGATTTGGGTTTTTGCGTCTTCCTGAAATTAAAACATCCTACACTCACTATTCCTCCCTTTTTCCCATCCATGATTTGGGAATCACTTTTGTTGAGAACGATAGGGCAGCTCCTTATACCAATGGCAAAAATACACACTTTCCAATCCATGGACAGGCAAAGTACAACCAAGAGTTGTGTCCTGGTTCTCCTCTTCCTTATGGCCAGGGCAAAATTCTGTCCCTTGATTCTTAACAATTTCATCAGTGGAAGCTTTCAAGAAGAGACTGAACTGCCATCTGTCAGAAATGGTGTAGGGTCTCCTGCTTGGGCGGGGGTTGGACTACATGGCCTATAACAGTGATGGCTAACCTATGACACGCGTGTCACTCGTGACACGCCGAGGCACTTTGACTGACACGCCTGTTGGTGTGGGGAAAACCTGCACATTTAGAGGCTGCCTGTGCTCTGCTCCAATCCCTGCTTGTTGCGTGGAGGTGTGGTGTCACCGCTGCCGCAAGATCTTTGCAGCAGAGAACCAGTTTTAACCGCCATAAACGGAGGTTTGTCAGTTTCATTACCTCAGGAACGCTACAGGAGGGAAGGAGATCCATGAGGTTCACAGCCCTGTAAGGTGGCCTTCCGATCCCCACATCCTGCACCTGCAGCCCTGAGACCAGGGAGACGAGTTTCACAGCCCTGTGTGATCACCCCAGCCCAGTCCGTCATAAACCAAATTATTGATATATCTTGAAGTGACACACGACCCGAGGAAGGCTACACTTTTTCCCGATTTTCGACACACCAAGCTGAAAAGGTTAGCCATCACTGCCCTATAAGGTCCCTTCCAACTCTGTTAATCTGTATAATTTAGGATAAGAAGCACAGGGAGTTTACTTACTTACTTACTTACTTACTTACTTATTTAGAAATTTTGTATTGCCACCTACTTGCACGTGGTGACTCAAGGCAGCTTACATGAATATAAAAACCTTGTATATAAAAAATAAAACTAATAGAAGCAAATAATCAAATAATACAATAGCCCCCCCACCCTGGCAACAACATACCACACAAGCCATTTAATGGGCTCCATCCCACTTTGTGTTCCCCAGGCCTGCTGGCAGAACCAGGTCTTCAGCGCCTTCCAGAAGAGTGTTAGAGAGGAGGCCAGTCTAATCTCTGGGGGAATGGTGTTCCAGAGAGAGGGAGCCACCACGGAGAAGGCCCTTCTTCTGGGTCCCACCAGGTGTATTAGAGCGGTGTCTAAATGAATTTTAAAAAATTGAATACCTTTAAAATCAGGTTAGATACCACAGAAACAATGTAAGAGACAGGGCAGATTCCTTCAAAATACGATTTCAAAAATATTTTAAAACGAATCTTTACGGCTATCTTTTCCCCGGACAATGAAAATCAAAATGGACTCTTTCTAATCCTGGTTAGCACAAAGTAAGACACAGGCAGAATTTAAAAGATTCCTTAATATGATAGATAATTTTATTCTTTATCAAAAAACCAAATAATTGGAAATCAACTTACGCCATGAAATCACAAGTGTTTCATGTATTTGGTTAAGCATGTAACTTTATCTTCTTTTATCTTTTCCAGATGCCAGATTGCAAACTATTGCAATCTTATTATTCCGCTTCAGGGCTTTTTGTATGATGCATTAATTCACCTTCACCCTGAAACTGTGTCATTGTACCACCTTAACACTCACTTGCATCCCAAAAGTTCCCCTGCCCCAGAAACCCCACTCGCTCCCCCGCAAAAGCACAAAAGAAAACACTGGACAGATCCATCCATGCAAATTTAAGCGCCTGTTTCCCTGATAGGCGTGGCCTCTCTAGGAAATCCAACTCTGTAGATTTAATCCTTTTCATTATCTCAGTGTTTCCCAACCTGGGCAACGCTCGCTGGTGGGACCTCGCTGAGAATTCTGGGAGTTGTAGTTCACACATCAGGTTGTCTAGATTGAGAACATTACTTTTATCTTATGGGGAAATGTTATTTCAGAGACGCTTACCAACTTTTCAGCTAGCTCTCACTTCCATGCCTTTAAAGCAGCTTGATGTCAAAATCAATTTGTCAAAACCTGACCAATTTTTAGAGGTGTAAACTCTAAACTCCCAGAATTCCTCATCCAGGAATAACTGGGAGTCCACCCATCTCAAAATTACCAAGGGTCTAAAACATTGGTTTAGAATAGTTAACTGCAAGTGGTTTTATTCGATTGTAAAACTAATAGCAATAAACGAGCAACGACAACTAAAATATGGAAGTAATTTTAATTGTATGTTTGAGATAAGGGATCCAGTATCTTCATTTTATCTCAATCTAATTTGTCTCCAGGATTGATATGACAACAGAATGGACCACTTTCAAACATTTATTTCTGAAGATGGGAGAGAATATGGTAAAGTGGAAAACAAAGCAAACAATTCAGCCCCCAATGTTATGTTTCTTCCCGGCCAATCAGACCTAAGATACATTGAATAAGATGAGATTTCCTCTAAGATAAGTGTGCATAGAAGTACAGTAGCAAGGCTAGCCTATGTTTGATATACAAGTAGTCCTCAACTTACGACAGTTCATTTAGTGACTGTTCAAAGTTACAACAGCATTGAAAGAAGTGACTTCTGACCATTTCTCACAGTTACGACCTTTGAAACATTCCTATGATCATGATCATCCCCTTATGACTGTTTTTCACACTTGTGACCGTTGCAACATCCCCATGGTTACTGTCATGCCCCTTTTAGAATCTGACTCTGGGGGAGAGAAGGAAGAGCAGACAGGGAGTGGGAATGTGGTTCCGGAAGTTGTAGAGGAAACTGGGGAAGGGCACAGGCTGGCTGGGCAGTCAGAGGAAGACCCAGGCCCATCCCCTCTTCATCCTAGGGCACGCAGGGAGGAGTGGATAAGGGAGAAACGTGAATGGCGAGGTCTACAGGGGAGGAAAGGGCCCTGATCCCCTTCATGGGCTGCAGCTGGGAGGACTGTTTAAAAGGACAAACTGCACAAGGCCCAGTGCTGGAGGCAAAGTGTGAAATACTTCTAGTCTTTCATTGCTTATCTGAGTTCTGGTGTCATTCCCAGTGTGTATTTTGACATCTGTGGATGTCTTCAAGCCCTTATCCTGCCTTGTCGCATTAATTGCTTCAGTGTGGTTTGTGTTGTTTTTTTTCTATTTATAATTTATATGTATTTTGAGTTTGAACGGAATTTATTCCTTTTCGGAACTGTTCATGGGGGAGTTTTTTCTCCAGTCAATGATAATTGGACCTTGGGGGCCAAGTTGAAGGAAGTAAAGGGACTTCACCTATTTTTGTGACTTTGTTGCTTTTGTATCCCACCCTGGGTCATAACAGTTACATGATCAAAATTCAGATGGTTGGCAACTGGCTCATATTTATTTTTTTAATAAAGTTTTATTTGGGTTTTCACACATACAAAATACAAGTAAAACATTTTTTTTTAAAATAGCATGGTCCCGGGTTGAACTTCTTTATACAGACACAAAACTCAATTTCATGCTCCTTTTTGTGTTCTATTCCATATCTTATTCTATTCTACATTTTCTATATAGTTTTTCCCCTCTTTTAATTTTCTCAATTTTATTTTGATTATCTCATCTCAATTCAAATCATTATATTTATACTTTGTCTGTTCTGTTTCAATTTCATATTATCTTTTCTCATTAAACAAATTTTCTCCTGTAGTTACTAATTGGAGTATGACACCTTTATATCTTTTAATTACATCCATTCAACTCTTATTTAAACTTCAATATATACCTTAAGGTTATGACCTTCAATATAATACATAATACATAACTTCCAATCGAGTTCTGCTTGGTACATTCTTATAATACACACTATATTCTTTAAAAAAAAGATTATAAATATATGTAATTATAAACCCTCATTCCATTCCAATTCAGTTCTATCATTAATAATCATTAAAATCTTAACATCTTTAACACTTCTTTTCAATTAAATATCATACTTCCTTAAAAATACATATAATCTCCATAATTAATTTTCCCTTATTTCTCTTCACATATGTTTTATAAATCATTAAATATTCATTTTGTTACATTTATTGACAAGCATTCCACTGAATTATGATAGCTATTTTATCAAACATTTTAATCATACATTGTTTCATATTTTCTAAAATTATTTCTGTTTCTAATATAACAATACTATCTTATGTACCTTTGCAGAATCCCTTTTTCCATTAAATTTTCACCCATTATCTCTAAATAGGCCCTGTTTCTCTATATTTTGTTTCTGTCCTTTATAACTTCTTTTCCTTTCTTTCTTCCTTCTCATCTTCTCCCTCCCCTTTTTACTCCCTTGTCTCTCTACTTCTAATTCTCTCTTCTGCATTTCCCTCTTCTGTTGCTTTCTGATTTTATACTTATTTTTCACTCTATTTTGGAGTTGTTTTTCCCAATCTTAAACTTTCCATTCTCTTTCCCCCCTTTCTTTATTTTCCCCCATCTAAGATTACTTGTTCATTAAAGATGGCTTCTTCTTTATCGCAATCTTCTTGTTCTGCAGGCATTTCTTGTTTCTCATAATTCCAAATCTCCATTTCTAAAAACTGAAATACGAAGCCAAAAGAACCTCTCCCTTCTTGTGCATCTTCTTTGTATTTTTTAAGTTCCATTTTCAGTTCTTCTAAAAGTGGAGCCATTTTAAACAGTTTTAAACAACCACCCAATTGATTTTAGTCATTCAAATACAATAACCAAAAATCCAGAAATCATC